AAATTGAGATAGTTCACGAAGTTCAATTCCAAAATAACAAAAAGTAAATAAGAACAAAATCTAAGTAAAGTATGTTAGCATCTCTAATGTATATATGCACCAAAAATATACTTTCTAAGTTTCTATTCTAGGTCACCTAATTAAAGTCTCAGTTTGACTTTTGAGTCAAATTATTTAAACTTTGACCATTAACCACTCAAAATTAAAAATAATTTATCAAATAAAATTAGCTTTATGTGCTTCATCGTATTATTCAAATGTTAATTGGTTTGTAGATTGTATATATAAGGAATGGTTCCTGTGAATGGTTCAGGTGAGAAAGGTGTCTTAGAAGAGAAATAAAAATAATATTTCACCATTAATCAATTCTATCCTACGGCTTGTGTTGCAAAGAAATTACAACATCTATTCATTATTTGCGGTTAAGTGCAACAGTTTTAAAAGGTAATGCTTCATTTCAAGAATTGTGTAGGGGCTCATTATATGGGAATGATTGACACATATGAAAAAGATTTTCTTTGTCATGGTTAGTTACCTTATCCTATAATATTTTATTATTAAATTATTTTCCACAAAAAGCTTCTTAATTTAATTGATCTCACGTACGCTACCCTAAAACATATTTAGGATAACCGACACTATTGAAAAGTTAACTTAGGGAGTGTTTGCAATCACTTAAAAAAAACACTTCTCAGCTTTTGGCTTAAAAAAACACTTATTTACCAAACACTATCATTTTTAATTTTTTCTCGGCTTGCGTGTGAAAAGTGTTTTTCCCCTTTCTATTACACAAAAAGCACTTATTTTACCAAACACTATCAACTTTTACTTCTCAAAATCACTTTTTTCTCAAACACTATCAACTTTTCCTACTAATCACTTTTTCCTTACATCTCCAAAAGTGCTTTTAGTCTGGCTTACTAGAAGCTTTGAAAATGCACTTTAGTTATTCAATAAATGCAATATTATTTAAATAGGTATGCACTTTATTTATGATGTAATATTTCATTTTATGTTAGGGGCGTCCCCTTAATAAATACGGAGTATGATTTTATACAATGAATTGTTTATAGCAGAACATAAAATATATGTTTCATGCACTTTTGTTCAAAATATTATGCATCTTTTATTTAAATAACTATGCACTTTAGTTATTTAGTAAATGTAATACGGAGTATTATTTCAATAGCTATGCACTTTTACATATTTTACATAATAGCATCATGCTAGGTGCATATTTAGATAATATACACTATAATTAATCAACTATTCATTTTAAGATACAATTGTTGCACATCCACATTTAAAACTGTACGAGCTTAACTTTTAAGGAGCATCCTGCACCTTGTACTGTTGTACATATCATGAACTATAGTGCATTTTTTTTAAAGGGTACATTGTTATATTGATTATTATATTGTGCAACTTCATATTTACTGATTCTAATATAGTTTTTCTAATCATCAAAACAAGCCTCTATTCATATCAAAAGATTCGAGATCATTACATCAGAAATATGGAAAATAAAACTAACACCAACCGAACTCCAACAACTACGACTGTAGACTCTATGATCAGACTTATAGACGGTCACCCCCTAAAAGATCAACATAAAGCGCTAACCATGTAGTGAGTTTGACACAGCCAAATCTATTCTCATAGATCCAACCATACCCAATGACATAACGAGAGGCTAAAAACTCAAACAAACTGTCAAAACCAACAACAAAGATGAACACAAGAAAACAAATGGGTGACAAACAGATAAAAATTACTAGGAAAACTTTCACGGCTTCTAGCACCTCGTTGAACCCATGGTGGTGGTTCAGGCGGAGGTCGGACCGTCGCTCGATTGATACCCTCTCTCAGTAGCGTACCCGTCGTGTGACCAAATCCATGTCATCGGATGGAGCGTTCAACCTCTCCACGCTAACCATGTCTCGATCATCCCTACGTCTCTCTCCCGCTTCTTCCACTATCTTCTTGGTGCCACGATCATCCATCCCGAGCTGCGTCAAAACCACGCAATCCAGCGCAGAGCTGCTTCAATTGAAAGAAGCGCCGCACCAGGGCGGCGAAACACAAACCCTACGCGAGAGATCTCGCTAGGGAAAAACTTTGGGGAAACTGATTCGATGCTCCGAGAATGTAGCAAACCAACGGACGTCCTTCGAAATAATATCGAAGACGGAGAAACCTAGTTATTTAATTTCTAATATAGTTTTGAAGTGCATTCAAAATTAGAAATTGTGCACAACACAACTTTTACAGTGCATCAAAAGACATACAAAACATCTCCTTCTTCGAATGTTGTGTGGTTAAGAGGAAATTCAAACATGTGCAAACATATTAAAATACATGCAGATCTTTCTGATTGTCAAAGAAAGAAATAAGAATGCAAGACGTTTTTATGAAAAAGATGATGGAAGAGTAATTTCTAGTAGAGTTTTTAAAAAAGAAAGAAATTGGTGGGCGTAGCTCAACTAGTAGTGAGGGAGTGCCACATCGGGTTCGAATCCCGGCAACTGCGATGAGAGGTTACTACCATACCCACCCCACAAGAAAGAAGATGACTAAGGGTGCTGAATCATTCTAGGTAATTATATGCTAGCGGAAACTTTGGGATTGAAGCTATTAAGAGCATCTCCAATGGTATAATGTGCACGGTGCACACGTGGCATGAGACATAGCCACATAAATATTAGTAAATAAATTTTTTCTCTCCTTATTTTAATGATTTTATACAGATTTAGTAAGTTTTTCTCCACAATGTCAAGGAGACCGTTTAAATGTTGACATTGCAGGGAAAAACTTACCAAAATTGTATAAAATCATTCAAATAAGGAGAGAGATAATTTATTTGCTAATATTTATGTGACTATCACTCATGCCACATGTGCACCGTGCACATCTTAGCATTGGAGATGCTCTAAAAGGATAAGTGCTCATTAATGAATTAAGCAAATTTCTAATTTGCCCTTAAGAAAGAGAAACAGAAAAATGAACAAAGTCAAATCCAAGAGATCTAATTCATTCTTACTTCTCTCTTAAGATGATTTTCTCATTTGAACCTAAACCTGTAAAAGTATACTAGTTTCTATACGCGCGATGCACGATCATGCAAATGTCCAATACATTTATCATTGGAAAATAACCATATTGTATATTGATTTATAAGAATGATTATTTCGCATTTCGCATGTTAACATGTATAGAAAGTTAAAAATCGTTCAATTCTAATTGGAAGTAGTTTAAAACACTAAAAGTATACTTATGCCAATTATTTTTGGAAAAATTGACAAGAATAATATCACATTTCACTGGTCTTCTCATAATAATATCACTTTTACGTAATCCCAGAATAATCCCACCTTTGCACATCTTCTTTTGTTGGACATTGACCTACTGATGACCTACTATATCATGTTTTTTACCCTTTCTTTGAGAACCTTATAGAAATAATCTCACCTTTCACATATCTGCTCAAAACTAAAGTACTGATATTTTGATTTAAATTCAAATCATATTTTTTGTTCTCTATTTGCATTTACATCTAAGTCTTGTTTCAATTAAAGCTCATCAAGCGATAAAAGTGACAAATTATAGTATTCTATTATTTTCCATACTCCCGATATCATCTTTATCAGTGTTCTACATCTTGTTGTCGCTTGGGCAGCTATTAAATTTTCGTCATGTCATGTATGAAATGAGCGTTATATGATCGGATACACGTATCGGTTCATGAATACGAGTATCAGAAGTATCGGTATTTTCAAAAAATTTGCCTGATAGTTTTATTAAATTACGAACCCAATACGTACCGGTCGCATATCGGTGAGTATAGGTATCGGATACGCGGATACGACATCGGGGTGAAGTATGTGTGCATCATAGCCTATCACTTAGTATGATATATGGAAAGAGATATTTTTTTTACAATTGATAATGAACTTACTATGCAACATTTCCAACATATGAAAAGTCATACTAGCTTCCTCCGTTCTTTATTATCTGTCTCGCAATCCATTTTGGGACGTTTTTTATTATTTGTCTCTCTTTCTATTTTAGGAAAGTTTTTGATAAAATACTCCCACTTTTTTTACTTTTACCCCTCTTACTTTTTACAAACTACTTTCTCTTTCTTACTTTATCATAACTTTACTCTACTTAATATACTATCTTTCCTACTTTATCATCACTTTATCACCACTTTACTCTTTTTAATATACTCTCTTTCCTACTTTATTATTTACCCTACACACTCTACATTTACCCTACTATTTTTCTATTAAAATCTGTGCCCAAGGCTAGTGGGACAGATAATAAAGAACGGAGGGAGTATGATTGATTGATGTACCGAGGTTGTAGAAGTGTGCCAAGTAGAGTGTAATGATATATAATGTGTGCTAATGTATTACGTGTAGGTTTTTGTTGTTTTTAGGTAAAAACCTATCAAATCAACCTCCAACTTTTCAAAAAAATCAAATAGGTAAAGGGTGCCAAATACTTGTATTACGAGTATCGGTATTCAAATACAAATCTGAATTACACTATGTTTACATTTTACAAGTCGGCATAAATTGTACAGAAATTATAAAAAATATTTTTCTGTTTGGTGCATTTTTCTTTTTTAGATGTATTTAAAAATTTGCTACACTTTCCTTTTTTGGTAAGTTTTTCATTTAAAAACACTCAATTATTCTTACGTTTTCTACCTTTTATTTTTTATTTCATACTTTTTCTCCATCTCTCATACTTTTTCCACACTATTCATTCTCTCTACCATTTCACTCTTAAAAAATGTGTCAAAAACTGTGTCAAAAAAATATGGAGAGAGTAAGGATGTTTTTACTTGAACTGTAATTTGTCCCAGACCAGTCCAGACCAAACCAGACCAGTTCAGACCAGACCATACCAGACTTGGATAATTATAAAAATACAAAGAAACCAGACCTTACCAGACCAGACCAGACCAGACCAGACCAAACCAGCAAATTACGGTCCAAGTAAAAATATCCTAATAAAACATGAATAAATTTAGAGGAAAAGAATTAGGAGTATTACGCCCTTCTGATTCGTGTCGGTTCGGCAAATACATCAAACGCTTCAATAGGCCGGAGGCGAAACGTAGAATTATAGAAGTATTTGGATTTACATCTCCGGTTTGGAATTTGAATGGGTGGTTTCAGACAGTTATTAATTGGAAGAGTTCGGAATCACAAAGTTTCTACTTCCTACTGGTAAAACCTTGTAATTACGCCGGTTTTCCGATCGAAATGCCGCCGCTGCCATCATTGCCGGATGAACTCAAAATTGAAATCCTCACCAGATTACCCGTAAAGTCTCTGATGCGTTTCACTGCAGTGAGTAAGTCATGGCGCTCTCTCTTCACGGATTCCGGATTCGTCTCAGCACACCTGTCTAAAGGAGCTACCGAACAATTTTTCTGTAACTAAGAACGACCTGAATACTCGTCGTTTTGCTCTTATCAAAGATGGAGAAAATCTCGACGGCAATCTCACGATACAACTTGGACCAATCGTCAAACCTGACAGGGAATTCCCTCTTAGTTTTTTTTCTTTTTTCAATCCCAAGGATTCTGCAGAGATCGAAATCGTGGGCAGTTTCGACGGATTGCTTTGCTTATGCTTTCTCCGTCCAGATTCTCACCCCTTAATTATGTTATGGAACCCTTCAATTCGAAGACACTTGGTGTTACCACCTCCCTCCATTCTCCCTCCTCCAAGGAAAGGTAGTCACGCAATCGGATTTTGTGTAGCCAAGAACGGTGATTATAGGGTCGTGTGGGTCCATGAAAAGCCTATGTCTGTTGAAATCTACTCTTTGAATTCAGGTAAGTGGCGGATTCTACAATTCGATCATGATTTGTTTCCTACAAGGTGGTTGTATAGTGGTCAAGTTATTGTGAAGGGTATGATGCATTGGGTTGGATGTGAGGATCTTGAGGATGACTACATGTACATTAGTCGTACAATCACTTCATTTGACATAAATGAAGAGATATTAAGAAACATACCAATCCCGGAAAAGTTAAAATATTTTGGAGAGGATGTAAGTACAAGTATTGCTCTAGTTAGGGAGTCACTTGGTATGATGGAGATGTATAATCATTTTGAATGTGACATTTGGGTGATGCATGAATATGGAAATATTGACTCCTGGACTTGGCTATATAAAATTGATTTCATGTCAACATATGATGATTGGCCGCTACCTATAGTATACGCATTGAACACTTGGAAGAATGAAGGGGTTTTTTCCGGGTCACGGCAACTCCTATATTTTGTGGATGATAATCCGTACATTGTGCCGGATGGGGAATATGGTGACCATCATCTTGACTATGTAACTAAGTATTTTGAGAGCCTTGTTTTGCTCGGAAACAAAGATGCCATTGCAGATGTGCATTTGCTTCACGTTGTTGCAGGTGGGAAATACTGTTGTAATGGTTTTCTTGAGAGGTTCTCCTCTTTTTATTTTTCTTTATACCGTTGTGTTTTGATTTCCTGACAAGTTAATCTAATTTTTTCCCGTGTTGCTATTCTTTAATCTTTAGATTCAGGGCGCATGGAAGAGGAGAATGCAGGTGGTGGACAAGCGATATAGGCAAGGTCTTACAAACCATTGGCTTTTTTCTTTCCTCTGAAAAGGTTAATCGTTTTATATGAAGAATGAAATTTTGAAATGTGTAGGCCATTCTGACCAAAAAGATACTCCCGTGGTCCCAATATATTTGTCATTTTGAAAAGTGTACACCTTGATTTGTATTATGAAATGAAATTTCTATCGCTATGGAAGTTTAGCATTAATTGCTTGTTATATCCCTTTCAAGGTCATATAACATTTAATAAGAAAAAAGTCAATCTGGGCAAATCTGGGAGATAAATATAAAATGTGCATTAACGTTTTTAAAGCATCAATTGTATGGAGTATGGACTACAACACAAACCTGTTCATTGACAATTCACATAATGGCATCACCTTTAGTTGATAGTTATTGTTTGGTAGTGTTGATTTTTCTCAAATCTGTGTGTGCATCTGTGAGTTTTTTCTGGCGATGCTTTTGTAGTCTGTACATTTTCTTCAAATTATAATCCTGAAGCAAGACCTTGGGTCTGTAGTGCAACTCTGATATCCTAAACTTGATATATTTTTCAGCACTTCAACGGCAGAGATTTATAATACTCCAAATGGTATCAGATATAAGCTACATCAAAGATGGGAAATTGTGAACTGTAAATTTTACATTAGCATAAATAAGTTCATGATGCCTCTACGCAGTAGAGTATAGCTTTCGGTATGATAGTAGCATAGTTATTCTCAGGTAGTCCATTCTGTGGTGGCAGTGCTTCATGCGTGATTGCGTTTTTAACAATATCATTTAGTTTCTTGTTATATGATATTGTTATGCTTAAATATCTTTAAGTGTGCATAGGTTTTCAACAAATGCCTAAGTGTTCCATTTTGTTTTGGAGCATATTTTAGGCATGTGGTATAAGAGTTGTTTCCTTCTTTGGATTTGATGGCCGAAACTATATAAGAGGAAGATGCAAAAGTTCATTCAAGCTGTAGGAACCTTTTTTGCATCAGGGTAGGAAGTTCCACCAAACTACTAGAAGTAGCATTGCTTGTTAGCTCTCTCATGGTTTTTGCATTGGGATTTAGTAACGGTTAGCTGTCACATAACATCACGCTATTGAAGAGAGGCTCTAGGGACTTGGTACTTCTAGCGCCATTTAATGAGAGTTGAAAGAGCGCTATTTTCAAACTGTACCATCCACTTATAACTTTGTTGATGTAACCATCTCTTCTGCAAAATAACTTGGCCTTGATTCAATCTTCTTATCACGGTTGGTGTAAAGTATGAAATAATGTGTCCTTGTCCTTGGCTTCTCATTGTCGCCAGTTTCTTCTTATCGCTGCTGAAATAGGGTAAAATACACAGTACAGCCGGCTGTACCGTGCGCACGGTACAGCCGGTCTTTTTTAGGACTTCTGCGCTTCTTCGATCTTGTTCCCTGCTTCTCGCCTGGCTTCTCCGATCTCTGTCCCTGCTTCGTCCTGCTTCTGCGGTGCTTGCGAAGAACTTCAAGCTCCAAGCAGGCAACTCCTCTGACAGCTCTCTTCTCCTCAAGCTCTCCTCTAGCCACTCTCTTCTCCTCTAGCAGAGCTACGCAAGAGACGGCGGCTCTAGGTGATTTCTTTGTTGGTCGGGAAGAAGTATGCAGGGAAGACAAATTGGAAGATGATTTCGAAGATTTGAGTTCATATTTCTTGATGACGAATCTGAAATGAGTTTATATTTAACTCAAATGAGTATAAGCTTAAAAAGAATGAACATACACAAATAAATATCGAGCATATTAAAAATGAGTTTTATGTAAAACTCAAATGAGTATACAACCGAAAATGAATGAGCATACACAAATGATCTTTTGAATTTTTTATACTCATTTTGTGATTTATGTATGCTCATTTGGTACCTCTTTATACTCGTTTCAAACGTATCATATTAATGTTAAACTCAAATGAGTATAAGGTCAAAATGAATGAGCATACACAAATGGACTTTTAAATCTTTTGATACTCATTTTGTAAGTTACATATGCTCATTTGGTGTTATTTTATGCTCATTTAAAAAGAACAGACTCAATGTTCATCACAATCGCATAATGAAAATCATTGGCGATACTTTTCAAGTTGATGCTCAATAAAAATGTCTTGATGTTCAATTAAAAGTACTTATGATTTTCATATCAATTCTCATTTTATAAGTTATGTATGCTCAACGGGTATTCATGTTATGCTCATTTGTAATATGACATAACAATGTATATTTCAAAATTCAAAAGTATCATATTGCATTAAATTCGCATACTGGAGTTCATAAGAGTTGATTATAGATATAATTTAATAAGTTTTTTTAAAGAAAAAAAATAAGGAAAAGAAAGTAAATTCGAAGAGATGAAGCAGAGATCACGATGCTCAATGTTATGCTTCTAATGCTCAACAAAATATGTCACTTGCTCACTAGGCATGGTTTAATACTCATTTAGTACGAGACGCGAATTTCATATAAATTACAAAAATGCCACTGGCTTTACGGTGAGCACCGTACAACCAGTGGTACTATATACGCTTCCGCTGAAATAGTTATTTTGATTAGGATATGAAAGATTGATGATTTTGTCACAAGTAATAAATTTTGGCAATGATTCATCAAGATACAATCACAAGCCTGGGAGAAAATTCTATATGAAGGGCGAATTTGAAACGTGAATTTAGAAACACCATCCCTGAGGGGTTCCCTATATAACAGTTGCATATTCAAGTAGCAGCATGTCATCTTTTTTAGAATAGGAGATTCGGAGAATAAAGGGATAAGGCTCAAAAAGATACTAATGTGATTTACAAATCTCAAATTGGACACCAAATAAGTAAATAAATAACACATAAATAAATAACTTAATAGAGCTACATTTGGTCACCCATTAACATTCTTTTAAAAGTTCATCTTTTAACTAGGGAAAGTTCCCGAAATGGGACTAAAACAGTTTGAAAATTCCAAAAATAGGACTGTCATGTTTTTATTCCCTACATAGGAGTAATTACTGTCAACTTTGGAAAATAGTTGTCATGTTTTAAGTCTGGTACTGCCAAAACATGACAGTAATTAGTCCTATTTTGAGAATAAAAACATGAGAGTCCTATTTTTGGAATTTTCAAACCTATTTAGTCCCATTTCGAGTAATATCTCTTTTAACTATCATCCTAAAGCTAATAATCATGTTTCCCTTTCAATTTGTAGCTACAAATCAAATAAATAGAAATCCGATGGTTGCTCCTAGGCCTGGACTCGGGCCCGGTTCGGGCCTAGGCCCGGCCCGGCCAGCGGTTCTGGGTAACTGAGTATTGAAGCTTTTGTCAATTACTTTTGCCGCCTTTGGCAGATCTGGAAAAGTTTTCCCCATGTTTAGACATTTGAAACCTTAAGAAACTTAAGGTCATAGAAGCTCTAAAATAGTTCACCCACGTAATATATTTGACAAAAATGTGTGTTTAGATAACGAAAATTTATATTAATAAATTTATCATTAATTTACAAATTTTATTCTCCCGCGCGTGCATCGCACGGGTAGAATACTAGTTCTAATGAAATGGCTACACTTTTAATTAGCAACTCACATGCATTGTCTCAGAAGTGTCTTTCGATATTTTTGAAGACATTTGCCTTTGCTAATCCAGAATTATTATTGGAGTGAAGAAAATTTACTCTATCGAGTCACCTTTATTAAACGAATTCAACAAGTTTTAGCGTTGGGCATATTACACTCGCGCAACGCGCCAACTAATTTCTAGTTTTTTAATAAGTGCTGTGTCCGTATTTATCTTCCATCTAACTTTGAATATATTTTACACTTTGTTGAAAATTGTACTCTCTCCGTCACGCTAAAATTGTCACATCTTTTCTTTTCGGTCCGTCCAACTAAGATGGTTTCATATATGATTCTAAATCAATCTTACTTTATTCTTACTTTGTCAATTCTATATGAACAATAAAAATCCACTTTTATTAATAATTGTGTCACATCTTCATGTCTCATTATTAGTCAGACAGATGTAGTATGTTTTAGACTAATAATTTTAATTTCTAGATTGACTAGGTTGACCTGTAACCTAGTAATTCGTCTGGGTCAGTTTTCGGTCCGGTTTCTACAACATAGCTATATAGATAGTATCAGACAGTCACAACTACCAATCTGGATAAGCCTAAAAATTACAGAGTATTTAATTCTTATAGAAATAAGTGAGAGAAGAAAATTATTGCCAAAAAAATTTATGCAAAAATTACATCACATGAATAGCTATGCAGGACAATGTTTCCATCTTTATTGAAATACAAGTTATATGCGTATACATCAAATTAGACGGAAACACTGCTCTGCATAATTATTAATATAATAATCATTGACATGTTTGAATTTACTTTTTCGTTGGGATATTAAAAACTTTTTTCTAACCCATCAACCTCCGGTGTGGGAAATACATAGTTATTAATATATTAATCATCGAGGTTTTGTATTGTTGAAAATATCATTGTTTTGCTAGGATTGGAAATTTTTGTTGCTGCATTTGCAAAAGTATTATTGAGTAGTAAATTTTCAGGTAATGCCTTTGAATGGGGAAATGAAAATAACTGTAAACCATTATAGAACCACTTTGTATTGAGGATGGGATAGTGATTTCAAGAAATGGGCATATTGGATTACAGATGTAGAGCCCGTTTGGTAATACTAAAATCGTCTGAATCGACTAATTTTGCTGAAAATTATGAAGTTTTGACTTAAGTGGTTGTATATGCGTATTCTGCTGATATATGAAAAAACTAAATTCAAAATATATTTTATTAATAAAATAAAGAAAAAATTATATGTAAAATTAGCTAAAATAATCCTCTGCAGAAACTTCAGCCGAAAGAACCAGAAAAGTAACTTCAATCTTACGTTTTTTTATTATTACACATCTCAGTGCGCGAAATCAAAAATTTTGTGTTTAGTCAAAAAGTCGGTTGATAAGCCTGATAAGCCGAATAACAACCAAACGAGCTCCTACTTTTGAACCCATTAAGATTATTCTGAACAATAATATTAGACTTTGGGGTATGATTGATGAATTTGTCGCTTCGATACCCACCATAACGCAATGCTAAAAGAAAAACAAATTTATGTTATGCTATTACATATCATCTTCATTACATGAAAAAGTTTATCTTAAAATATTACTAAAATAAAATAAAGTTAATGGACAAAACATTACTTCATCGGTCCTAGTTTAAGCTGCACATAAATTATTGTATAAATTATTCAAGCATTCAATTTAACGCTCTTTTACTCTAATTTTGAATAAAAATAATAATTTAAATACTCCAAAATTTGAAGAGGTATACAGTATAAGGTAAGCACCCCACACTCATAAATAGAAGAATGATCTTGTCCAGCAGCCCCCAGTCCGAACGCCGTCCGAACATGGCCATTTGGGCACTTCTCGGTGGAAGTTTTTGATGAAATTATTTGAGCATATTCCTGATCAAGTCTAGTTTGTCCATATCAAATTTCAGCTCAAAATTCGATCGGGAAGGCATTCAAATCATTTTTTGAAGTTGACTGCGTCTAAATATACATATAAAAATGCAGTCAATTTCAACAAATTATTTGAATGCATTCACGATCGAATTTTGAGCTGAAATTTTGGTATGGACAAACAAGACTTGATGAGGAACATGCTCAAAAAATTTCATCAACAAATTTCACCGGGAACCGCCCCAAACGGCGGTGTTCGGACGGAGGCTCCCGTCCGAACGTTCGGACCTGAACATTCTTGTGTGTGTGTGTGTGTGTATACATTTTAAGTAAAATGTTATCTTAGCACCATGATCATATTTTTTCTTTCAAAATGTATGTTTATATATAATGTTAAGTCCACAATTTAAAATATTTTAATATTTAATTTGCAAGGATATAATTAACATTTTAAACTTCCATAGTGAATAAATAATATTTCTCATAGTCTATATCATTGCAACACTTTTGTTTTGTCATTTGTCATCGCACAACTTTCATTATTAACATATTTAATTGACTTGTAAATTATTTACACATTCTATTTTGACTACATTTTATTCATTACAAATTTTTTTTATAAAACATTAAAAAATTTGTTCCAGATTAAAATGGTAAAATTCGACTTTCTAAACTCTGTAATTTTTACTAATACTCAATTTTAATAGTCAAAATAATGTATTGACAAATATCAAATTAAAAGTACTCCCACCGTCTCTAAATTAACTTTCAAAGTACATTTGGCACGAGAATTAAAATAGTTGGTATTATGTGGTTGAGAGTTGTACAGAGGTGAGACAAATGTGTAAGAGTATGTAAGATTTATTGTGAAGCACAAATTCATTACCCAGAAAGGAGAAACGTAATTGGGGAAGGGAGTATATTATATATAGACTAAGGAATTTTGGGGAAATTTGAAACGACAAAAAAGGAAATTTAGAAGTTTAATTGGGGACGAAGGGATTATAATATATAGACTAAGGAATTACTAGTATTAATTATTTCAGAAATATAATGGAAGCTAAGAGGGTTTGCTACAGTGTCATAATTGTTAAATATACTTAAATTATCTATTTAACACCATAAATTTACATTTGCAAACGAAAAATTATATGATCGTGGTGCTAATTAACATATATTCTTATATAAAGTTCGAGATATTTATATTGTATACACAAGTTTGGGGTTTTCATATCACGCTCCATCAAAGTTTGGAGTATTTGAATTATTTTTCTAATTTTGAATATTAAAATATGACTCTCTCCATTTTACAATGAAATTTGCTAGGTTTGACTTACATGTGATATAATAAAGCAAGAAATTTGTAGTTGGGATGTATGCACAGAGGTTATCAGTGGACCTGGGGGGTCCTAGGGGGGGCAAGTGCCCCGCTTCCGACCCCGAAATTTAGTATTAGTAATTAAGATAAAAATTATGCCCCCACTACCCGGACAAAAAATTAGAGATTTTTCATAAATATTATCGAAATATAACTAATGGACAAAAATATTACTATAGTTATTATGGATAGTCGCTATACTGATCGTGTTGAACACAATAATGGTCACTATAATTACAATGGTAGTTACTAAGTCATATATTTGCCCACTATCTTTATTTCAATAATATTGTCAGTATTTCAAAAAATTATTAGATATATAGGACTCCGTCAAAGACATATACTCCTTCCGTATCTATTTACTTGTCTCACTTTCCCTTTCGGGACCTATCAAAAAAAATGTCTCATTCGCTTTTGGAAATAAATCCACTCAAAAAGCAGCTACAGTACCGCTACAGTACCGTTACAGTACCAAAAACCTCCTATTTTACATATAATAATTGCCTTAAACTACGTAAAAAGGAAAACGGGCCAAATAAATAAATACGGAAGGAGTAACAATTATAGTAAGAAATATAAGCAACCATAAAGTTGTGATGGAGCAAATCCTATAGTTAGACATGTTTTTTATATGATTACTACACTTTCTTTGAAAAGTGGCATTGTAATTTTTTACTTAGGGCGAATAACGTTTGTCCAAAGTTAAAGGTCAAAGATATGACAAGAGTTCTAATATGTGGGATGAACTTAATAGATTGAAGACTTTTATCTTGAATAAAAGTCTATACATGAAAAATGTGTCATTTCGCGATAAATTAGTTTCAAACCTACAAACCCTTTAATTTTTATCTATAATGTGATAAAAGTTAGATATATATAATCATATCATTAAATAAAGTTGTATTACAGGATGAAATCATAAACCTGATTTATACTTCATTTTTAACACGATAGTATTATATTTCAGACAAGTACCAATAAAATTTGTGGCACAATGTGTAGCATTCGACATGATCCTAGTTCAGATCTGAAATATAGATCACTTTATAGTATGAAAAATAACGAGAATTCTAATGTAAAATCAGAAATGGCGCAAAGATTAATCATATCTAATCCAAATTATGTCTTTCTTTCAAAAAGTCAAATAGTATTGTTTAGAACTGTCTTAATGAGTTGTTTAGAATTGTCTTAATGAGTTCAAAATTGGACTTATAATCCATATGTGTTCATTGTTTGAAGTAGGCATTGGATTACTATTTCTAGTTAAAAATAATAATCTGAACGCACTTAACAAAAAAGGCCAATGATACACCTGAATTGACTGACCCGGCCCATTTCCATCTATGCGAGAGTGCCCCCGCTTCAAAAACTTCTGGGTCCACCACTGGAGGTTATAAATATCTTTGATCGTATACCTTAAATGGAAATGACAAGATTTTTTTTTGAACGACTGAAAAACATAATTTGGCGGAACTTTATAGGACGGAGAAAAGTTTCATATTTGAATTCGGGTTTGCAACATAATAAAACATGTAGCGAGCTTTGTGAAATTCATATTCTAATTACTCACACTTATATACTTAGAGAATCTCCTATTCATGTATTTTTAGTGTAGGTTAAGTGTGCCACATCATTAAATTAGAGATTATTTTTGTATTTATCCCTCCAATGCTTGATATGGTAAAAGAAAATCTAAATAGTGTCAAGGTGAATGTTTGAGTGCAGACTGCCTCCCAAACATGTCGACCGGATAAAAAATAGGCATTGCCTTCACCAAAAAATTAGACAGAAATTAGATATCTACTCCATTTGCTGAACCGCCACAAATCACTTCACATTATATTATGTGTATTTTTTGAAAGAATTATATTATGCGTATTAGAAAGTCATCTATTTATTAGTACATTACATCTATTTATCGCTTAAATACGTTTTTAGTCCCTACAAATATGAAACACTTTATTTTAGATCCCTGCAAAATATTTTTCTTGTTTTTCATACCTGCAATATTCACTATTTTGTTTTTAGTCCATATCTAATTCCAAAACTATTGTACTTACAAAAGAAGTTATATTCAATTACATAAATTTATTAGAAGTATTTTCATTTGCCCTTTTATAATTATTTTGAGGCTAATATGAGAATTAAAACAATATAAAACCAAGTATTCACACTTTCAAAATATACATAAAAAAATTCCCAAAAAATAAAAAGAAATACTTTTAGAATAAGAAAACAAAATTTTAGAGGAAATCTACTAATCGGGGTTATTTTGAGGTCAAATGAAGGTTGTTATTATCAGCAATGGACTAAAAAGAAAATCAACATAAATTACAGGGATGAAAAACAAAAAAACAAAAATTTGCAGGGATGTAAAACAAAACGTATTACTTTTGTAGGGAATAAAGACATACTCCCTCCGTCCCAAAATTAACTTCACACTTTCCATTTCGGGCAGTCCCGAAATTAACTTCACACTTCAAAACTTTCTTTATTTGGCAAATAATCTACATCAAAAAAGTGCATGTCAAACAGTGTCAAACAAACAGTGTTTAAACAGTGCACTTCATAGTAAAGTCAAATTTATTTTCTTAATCTATGTGAAGTCAAACGTTAATTTTGGGACGGAGGTAGTATTTAAAACTTTATTTATTTGACACTTGTCACATATTATTAAGACTAGAAACTAGTAGTGCTCTTATTATAACACAATCTCCACAAACAACACACAAAGTCCTAATATTAGACGGAGAGAGTACTACCTACCACTTCAGCCATTATAATTTTTAGAAATTGTCAATTGAATACAAATCTGAATATTGTTTACAAGTCGGCATAAATTTTACAGAAATTATGTAAAATAGTACGAGAGTACGAGTAATAAAACATGAAGAGGAAAAGTATTATTACACCCTTCTGATTTGTGACTAGGGATGACAACGGGACAGATCGGGAACGGTTTTACATATAATCGTACCCGCTCCGTTTGGTAATTCCCCCACCCCATAACCGCCCCATTACCCAACGGGTAATTTTTACCCAAACCATAACCGCCCCAACGGGTAACGGTTATAACCGCGGGTAACCGCGAGTAATCACTTAATTAAATAAGTCGTTGATATTTTAAAAGGCGAAAAATGGCATCACCTAGACAACGCTAGACTCAGACATCACTTTAAAGCTTCATCTATCTATAAGACGAGAAACTGAGAAAGAAGACAATCTAAATTAATTTGAACCTAAAAATACTTCATCTGAAAAGTAATTAATCACAAAAAATCATTTACGAAGTCATAATCAAACAAGGCTATTAAGTTCTATTGAGAACTTTCATTCTTACACTATAGTCAGTACATCTATTATCCATATATACACAATGAACATTAAAAATCTCATCTTTTATTAGTTGTGAAACAAATAATGATAAGAATGTAATAAAAATATAACTAAAAATAAACGGGGCGGGTACTAGGTGGGTAATGGGGCGGGCATGCATAAAACCGTAACCGCCCTGTTACCCGTAAAAACAAAACAGGTATTCCCCACCCCGTACCCATTACCCGATCAATGCGGTTTTCCCCATTTTGACCAAGGCGGTTCGGTGCGGGTATCCTTCGAATCCGTCACAATTGTCATCTCTATTTGTGACGGTTCGGAAAAACATCAAACGCTTCATTTTAACTTTTATACTTTTGTGAACCACAAATAGAAAACTGGGATACAAAATGAAGTACAAAAATGGTAGCTTTACATTTGTGAACATAGAATTATAGAAGTGAAGTATTTGGATTTACATCTCCGGTTTGGAATTTGAATGGGTGGTTTCAGACAGTTATTACTTAAAGAGTTCGGAATCACAAAGTTTCTACTTCCTACCGGTAAAACCTTGTAATTACGCCTGTTATCCGATCGAAATGCCGTCATCGCTTCCATCATTGCCGGTTGAACTCAAAATTGAAATCCTCACAAGATTACCGCTAAAATACCTGATTCGTTTCACTGCAGTGAGTAAGTCATGGCTCTCTTTCCTCTCGAGTTCCGATTTCGTTTCAGCACACATGTCTAAAGGAGTTACCGAACGATTCTTCTGTGTTACTAAGAGCGACCCGAATATTCGTCGTTTTGCTCTTATCGATGGAGATAATCTCGACGGCAATCCCACGCTAGGACCAATCGTCAGACCTGATAGAGAATTCCCATTTAGGTTTTCTTGTTTTTTCAATCCAAAGAATTTGGCAGAGATTGAATTAGTGGGCAGCTTCGACGGATTGCTTTGCTTATGCTTTCTCCGTCCGGATTCTCACCCGTTAATTATGTTATGGAACCCTTCGATTCGAAGACACTTGGTGTTACCACCTCCCTCCATTCTTCCTCCTCCAAGGAAAGGTAGTCATGCAATCGGTTTTTGTGTCGCCAGCTACGGCGATTATAGGGTTGTGTGGGTCCATGACAAGATTATGGATAATCCTATGTCTGTTGAAATCTATTCTCTCAATTCAGGGAAATGGCGGATTCGACGATTCGATCATGATTTGTTTCCTCTAAGATGGTTGTATAGTGGTCAGGTTATCCTACACGGTAGGGTTCATTGGGTTGGATTTGATGAGGATGTTGGGGATGACTACTTGTACTTTAATCATGCAATCACTTCATTTGACATAGATGAAGAGATATTTAGAGACATACCAGTCCCGGGAAATTTAACATATTCTCTATGGGATCAAGAAATAAGTATTGCTCTAGTTAGGGAGTCACTGGGTTTGATGGTTTCGTGTGATCATTTTGATTGTGACATTTGGGTGATGCAAGATTATGGAATTGTTGACTCCTGGACTTGGCTATATAAAATTGATTTCACACCAACACATGAATATTGGCCGCCTCCTATAATATGCGCAGTAAACACTTGGGAGACAGAAGGGGGGTTTTCCGGCTCACGCCAACTCATATATTATGCGGATGATCAGCCGTACATTGTGCCAGATGCGGAATATGGTGACCATCATCTTGACTATGTAACTAAGTATTTGGAGAGCCTTGTTTTGCTTGGAAACAAAGATGCAGTTGCAGATGTGCATTTGCTTCAAGATGTGCAGGTGTGAAATAATGTGTAAAGGTTTTCATGTTTCATCAAATCCAATTTGGTTAAGCCAACAAATTTTGTTGGCTTGAGTGGTTTTCCTTGTCTTATTTTTATGTATCCCTTTCAGTTTTTTCTTGACAAGTTAATCTTACTTTTACCTGTGTTGCTATTCCTTAAATCTTTAGATTCAGGGAGCATGGTAGAGGAGAATGCAGGTGGTGGACAAGCATTATAGCCAAGGTTTTACAAACCATTGGCTTGTTTCTTTCTTGGGGAAAAGGTTAATCATTTTATATGCAGAATGGAATTTTGAAATATGTAGTCCCTTCTTACCAAAATGATACTCCCTTGGTTCCAATCTATATGTCATTTTGAAAAGCGCACACCTTGATTTGTATTATGACATGAAATTTCTATCGCTATGAAAGTTTAACGTTAAATGCTTATATATCCCTTTCCAGGTCTTATAGCATTTATTCATTTAAGTAGAAAAAGTCAATCTGGGCAAATCTGGGAGATAAATACAAAATGTGCATTAACGTTTAAAACATCAATTATTTTAGCAGGTTTTTTGGCTTAAACAACAAAATAATTTAGGACGGAAGTAAAAATTAGTATAAATAGGATTTTTTCAATTCTAATTTGGGACTGAGGGCGTTTCATACTATGTACTATCAACTGTCACCAAAGTTATATTATCCACATTATTTCTTATTGCCAATACATCTTTTGGCTATGTATGGAGTATGGACTACAACACAAACCTGATCATTGACAGCTCACATAATCGCATCGCCTTTAGTTGATAGTTATTGTTTGGTAGCGTTGATATTTCTTTAATCTGTGCCTGCATCTGTGAGTTTTTTCTGGGGATATATTTTGTAGTCCGTATTTTTTCTTCAAATAAAAAATGTTGAAGCGAGACCCTGGGTCTGTAGTGCATTGATCTCTCTGACTCGATCTGTTATTCTAGACTTGCTATATTTTTCAGCACTTCAACGGCAGAGATTAATATCACATCAAATGGTATTAGATGTAAGCACCATCAAAGATGGGAAATTGCAAACTGTAAATTTTACAATACAATAAATTAGATCATGATGTCTCTACGATGTAGAGTAGAGCTTTTGGTATGATAGTAGCATAGTTATTCTCAGGTAGTCCATTCTCTGGTGGCAGTGCTTCTTGCATTAGTGCGTTTTACCAATATCATGTTTAGTTTCTTATTCGCGAGCAGCTCATGGATCGCTCGGGAAATGCTCGACTCGAGTTCGGTCATATTAAGCTTGACTCAAGTTCGGCTCGACTCGAATAGTTAACAAGCTCATTTCAAGCCTATTTATTTTAGGCTCGTGGCTCGCGAGCCGGTTCGCGAGCCTTTGTGTCATATTTTATATATTTTATATGTAATTATATATGTAATACTCCCTCCGTCCCATAAAACTGTTCCCACATTGACTTGGATCGGAGTTTAAGAAAGTGGGAATAAAGTGGAAATGCATGGTTGCGGTTGTGTAAGAAAAGGTAAATGAATGTGAGCCATACAAAACTTTCCAAAAGGGAAAAGTGGAACAATTTTTTGGGACGGCCCAAAAAGGAAACCAGGAACATTTTTTTGGGACGGAGGGAGTATGTAATAATTATATATGTACTTTTTTGGAATATGTATTCTAATTTAGGATTATTCCATAAAAATTAAATTTGCCAAACTTGACCCGAGCTCGAACCGGGATCGAATTGAGCTCAAGCCGAGCTCGGCTCGAGTTCAAGCCCAAATTATTTAACTCATCCAAGCTCGAGATCGAGCTCAAGCTCGTGAATTCTTATCAAGCCCAAATTATTTAACTCATCCAAGCTCGAGATCGGGCTCGACTCGGCTCGTTTAGCTCTCTCAGGGTAGGGAGTTCTACCAAACTACTAGAAGTAGCCTTGTTAGCTCTTTCATGGTCTTTTTTTGCATTGGGATTTAGTAACGGTTAGCTGTCACAAAACATCACTCTATTAAAGAGAGGCTCTTGAGATTTGGTATTTCCAACGCTATTTAAAGAGAGTTCAAAGAGCGTTATTTTAAAAAAACTTTGTTGATGTAACCATCTCTTCTGCAAAAAACTTTGCCTTGATACTTTTTATCACGGTTGGTGTTAACTGTAAAATATGACATGATGTCTCCTTGTCCTTGGCGTCTCGTTGTCGCCAGTATCTTCTCATCGCTGCTGAAAGTAGTTATTTTGATGATTTTGTAGGATATGAAAGATTAATGATTTTGTCATAAGTAATGATTCATTAAGATAAAATCACAAGCCGTGGAGAATATTCCATATAAAGGGCAAATTTGAAACGTGAATTTAGAAACACCATCACTGAGGGGTTTTCTTTCATAACAATATTGTTACTTTTTTCTTCATGAATTGATATGTACGTGGAAATAGATTAGTTGCATAATCAAGTAGCCCCATTTCATTTTTTAGAATAGAACACTAATTCAATTATCATAGAACACTAATTTAATCTATAAAGTTATAGGATGACTACCGTTTTAGGCCATTTAGGGTGTTAACACTTACTCTATAAAGTGTGTCCTACTTATTTTTTTTTTTTTTTTTGAAAAAAGATTTTATTAATTAAGAGAACAATACACGGTAGGGGGACATTAAGCCAAAACCTACCGAATCAAACAACGTACGGGTAACTAATCGCATCAAATTTTACAATGCCCATGAATTTATTATAACTGCCCGGGTTACTATCAAAGTTATTAGCGTTAGCTGCTACGTACTGAGCTGTCCTATTACATGGTTTTTTAATATAAGAATACATGAAGTTGCGATTTTGAAATATCTCTTGGTACGCCTTGAGATTGGCAAGTGCTTTCCAACTTGGTCGGTCAATTCCCTTTAGGACCTGGATTACCTGTAAAATGTCACATTCTATAATGGCATTAGTGTAGTGTTTTTCTGTAAAGAGACTATTCAGTTTGATCATAATATCACAAAAATTAGAGATATTATCAGAGTTTTGGTGAGTGTTGGAGTTGTAGTGGATGGTATGACCATGATTATCCCGAATAAGGAGACCAGAAATGATGCTACCTTCCCTGGTTTTGCCAATTGCAAAGTTGATCTTGATGAAATTAAGAGGGGGTTTGGTCCAACTAACAACCCGGTTCGAAGGCTTAGAGGTATGGGGCTTAGGTTTAACACAAGTAATATTCGGGATAGGGGGATTAATGGCATTAGTGACAATCGGTTTGGCGCTATTGACATCCCGAATTTCCCTATTGATATAATCAACAGCCTCACAGATTTGAGTAATTTTATCATCATAGATGTACTCATTTCTTCTTTTCCGAATGGTCCAACAAATATAAATAGCAACCTGACTTTGAAGGTTTTGAAACTCATCATGAGCAGTAAACCAACCCAATAAAACTGAATTGGGGTCTTTGGGGAGCCTCCAAACGGCTCTATAGCCGTTGGAGGGGGGTGGGGGGTGGGGGGGGAGAAAAAAAAACCTATTTATACTCCTATTTTCTATTCATTTTTTACACCTTCTTCATACAATCCTACTCTCTAATTCTCTACTCTCTAATTCTCTATTCTCTGAAATCTCAATCTCTAAAATCTTCATTCATCTCCATCTTCATCTTCTCCAATTATCTCTACATATATATTATTTATATAAATATTATTATATCTACTTATATATTTATTATCTACTTATATATACATATATTACATTACTAATATTTATTATCTACTTAATATATATTTATTATCTTCTAATTATCTACTTTACATATATATATATATATATATATTATAACTTATATTCCTTATCTACTTAATCTCTACTTATTATTATATCTACTTATATATTTATTATCTACTTATATATACATATATTACATTACTAATATTTATTATCTACTTAATATATATTTATTATCTTCTAATTATCTACTTTACATATATATATTATATAACTTATATTCCTTATCTACTTAATCTCTACTTATTATTATATCTACTTATATATTTATTATCTACTTATATATACATATAGTACTTTACTAATATTTATTATCTACTTAATATATACTTATAGTAGTATTCAATATAAGTGTATTACTCATCTTATAGTAGTATACTTATATATTATATACTATAAACATTATATATAAAATATACTTATATATATATATATATATATATAAAACATTATATAGATATATTCGAATTACTATATATAGTAGTATTATATATTCGAATTTCAAAGTATATCATACTATATTCGAATTACTATATATTTAATACTTATATATATTATACTTATATATATTATACTTTTTTTTATTCGAAGTATATTTGTTTAATATTGTATTAACATTACTTGATTAGTTCATTGTATTAGTCATCTTATAGTAATACACTTATACATTATATATTATAAACATTATATTATATATTAGTTATACACTTATATAATTCTATTACCTACAAGTAGTTAATAGAATATTGTTACATTTTAATTAAAGTATAAAAGTAGTTAATTGTTGCATTTTAAATAAAGTATAAAACTAGTTAATTGTTGCATTTTTCATTAAAGTGTACAACTAGTTAATTGTTACATTTTAAATAAAGTATAAAACTAGTTAATTGTTGCATTTTTCATTAAAGTGTACAACTAGTTAATTGTTACATTTTATATAAAGTATAAAACTAGTTAATTGTTACATTTTAAATAAAGTATAAAACTAGTTAATTGTTGCATTTTTCATTAAAGTGTACAACTAGTTAATTGTTACATTTTAATTAAAGTATAAAACTAGTTAATTGTTACATTTTAAATAAAGTATAAAACTAGTTAATTGTTGCATTTTTCATTAAAGTGTACAACTAGTTAATTGTTACATTTTAATTAAAGTATACAACTAGTTAATTGTTACATTTTAATTAAAGTATAAAACTAGTTAATTGTTGCATTTTTCATTAAAGTGTACAACTAGTTAATTGTTACATTTTAATTAAAGTATAGCACTTTTATATTTGTTAAGATGGACCGTGGTAGACATTCTGTAGATATGGGAAATCTCCAACGCAACCGAAAGAAGGAGATTGCGAGAACTCATCATAGTTTGCGCAAGAATACCGGGCAGTCCGGGTCTTCTTCTCAAAGTCGACAAGATTTTGAACCGGAATACCAACGGCGAGATGGCCATGCGATGTCCGACGAGCAACTACAACAACTATTGGCTCAAAATGATGGACGATTTTTCCATCAACGAGACATCCCGGACGAGATTCACACCATTGACGAAGAAGAGCTCGAGAATGACGATCCGGAGGAGGACGCGGGGGGCGCCGGGAGTCACGGCACCCCGGATGAGGAGCAAGAGGCGGAGGAGGGTGGTGGTTCATCCCAAACAGGTACGAAATCTAAATCTCCTATTATAGAAAATAAT